ATTGTTCGATAGTGTGAATGGCAGTTATGAGAATGGCCCATGTCCCATTTTCGTTAAAAACCCTCTGTTTTCGAAAGTTGCAAACATTTAAAACTTTTCTACATCCTAATTTCTATTTACCAAAATGTATATTTGAATTATATCCATCAAATTTCAGCTTTGCTGAAAATCTGGTTAATATCAAAGGTAGGATAATCTTGGAGTGATGGTCTTTCAATTGCTCCCAGTACACCGAGGGAAGTGTAAGAACTATTCAAGAAACTTGTCTCTCGATTTGAATGAAGAGCGCTACGCGCACGGTGTTGTCGACATGCGCTTTTCCGTCCCGATCGTCTAAAAAGGGCGCGAACGTCTGCCTTAAAGATAATGGCTTGTTATGATAAATAAAGGATGTTGTCTGGTATCAATAACTTTTTTTTTAAAAAAAGTTATTGATACCAGACAACATCCCTTATTTATCATAATAATAGAAGGTATCTACCTCACCAGCGATCAAATTAATAATGACTTGTTATTTTGATGAGTTTTTACGTTTACAACTTTTCAATATGGATGAACATGTGAATTATTTAAAATACATATTATATGCACATATTTTAAAACCCTTCTCAATACAAATCGCACATTTCGTGCAAAAACAAAATATTTTCTAACAAATATCAATTCAAATTCAACAATTATAACTGATTTTCATGCAGGTAAATCATGTCCCAACAAGACGCAATTCACAAAAATAAAGTTGTCTAGTCATTGTAGGATTTCAATCTGATATTCCCTAAAAGTTAGCAGTATTTCAAATAAATTTTAAATAATGTCAAAAAATTATGTGTAGACAAACGTCGAATGTAAGAAACGAATAAAGGTATATGAAATATACAAATTCGATCATACGAAGCATCCAAATGTCGGGAATTACGACAACGAAGCGGACCGGCCATTATTTCTGTCTCCAAATTAGCCCCAAAATACTCTAAGTTTCAAAAAATTGAATATTACCTTATTAGAAGATCTATTTTTGATAAAAACACATCATAAACACACACAAACACACACATCCTCTCCTGTCATTGCTTTGCACCAACATCACCTACACATATATTTTCCAGTTAGTTTGCTTGAAATCCACAGTTGTATGATACCTTAAACTGGGCAATATTATAATTTTATGAATGATGGTTTAAATAACACAGCTTTTTAAGAATTATTTGCCTCCTGAAATTCAGAAAATGTGTGATAAAATGTAGTTTGGCGGCGATAGATGGCAGATGGGAAGACGATGGGGTAAAATCTAAAAGCTTGCCCAGACCAAAGAAATTAGAAAACTAACAAGTATACGAGATCGTCTGCGCCATTCTGTAGCACCACTAGTTTAGATTTGTAACATACTAAGACCAAATGTTTTACATGTAAGACATGTAATTTTGTCACGTTAAATATTTTATGTTGTTCCATTAATCAGCTAGTGTCAAACCAATGTTTACTTCACCAATTTCGTTTTATTCATTCATTGTTTATGTGTAGTTCATGTACGTTCGTAATTTGTGATGTAGTACATTTTTGTTCATTTTTCATCACCGACTGTAAATACAATGACTACGTCTGTGTTAGAGTGACTAAATTAAAGGATTTTGATTATTTTTCTGAATTCTGATTGGTAGTTGGAGGGCTTTAATTGACCGCGTACAATTGATATAATGATAATTAGGAAGCGAATTTTGATGACCTAAAACTGCCAAAAATTACCAATAAAATGCTTTTAAAATTCCCTAAAAACAAAGAAAAATAACGTAAAAATTTATCAAAATCACTTCAGATGAACAACTCAAGCTATTTGGTATGTTACTGATGTAATCCAGGCTTCTCCCTTTAGTTTAGCTACAAACTTTTGGTATGGACTGTTCTTTAAAAGAAAATATTTGCCTTTATTTATCGCAAAATCGGCAAAACAGACAATGGCACCGATAGGCGTCATAGGAACCTTAGATAACGTAGAACTAACAAGTCCAACATTACAATATATGAACGAAGAAATCGAATAGGCTATTTAGAAATTCTGTAGTGAACTTTTGTTGCACCTCGTAAATATTGTTTGAAGCAATTACCATTAAAATGATATTAAAATCGATCAAATTATCGAAAAATGCATTAAAAATTACGTAAAAGAGTAAAAAAAGACTTATTCGAAATCAACGTAAAATACAAAAAAATATATCAAAATGGATAATTTCGTTTTATCACAACATAAAATGAATTTCTATACTAAACGGCATTGTTCTAAAGTGAAAAGAAGAAAGATTTTTCATGAAATTATAATTATTACATTATTATAACTACATTCTAATGAGATATGTAGTTACAAATACATTACAACACATTATTACATTTAATACAAAACATTTAGATTAAAGTTCATACTACAGTATAAGTAATTGCATGAACAGAAAATTAATTTTTGACTATGTTTAAAGAAAAATGAATCATTAAGTTAAAGGAATTAACTTAAATTAAATTATCTTTAAAAAATTAAAACATTATGCATGTTTTCGAAGTGCTAAATGTTAAGTTGAGGAAGAGCCTGCTCCAAACAGCTTCTCAAATCTCTTTTATATCTTTTTCTATATGCAGACTCGTGGACGTCCCTTCTTTGCCTTTTGAGATTGAAAAAGTCGTTCTTTCAAAATATTGCCTCCGGCAGAAAGTCTAAAATGTAATAACGATTGGAAATTTTCATCTTTAAAATATGGTGCATTTCTTCTAAATTGATCCAGAATGTATAGGCCCGCGAACATAATTTTTGTGTCGACATACGAAGTAACGTGTCCAAAGATAATTTGAAACTGAAATTAAATTAAAAATAATATTAATTTATATAATATCAAATTCTGTTATATATTTTCTCTTAATTATATTAAATTAAATTTCTGTTCAAATCTATCTATCTATCTACATATATATATA